CCCCAAAACCCCAAAACCCCAAAACCCCAAAACCCCAAAACCCCAAAACCCCTTATTATAAAATTCCTGCTGATCTTTATTATAAATATGAAAAGAGTTGCCACAATCTTATTGGTGCTGTTCCTCGCAACTGTACTGTGTGGAGAACATGAAAAGAACAGGTTTCATTTTCAAGAGAGCCAGAACACTCCTGAATACAAGGAGAAAATAGCTGCTCAGATAAAGGAGTCTAAGGAGAATAAATTGAAAGGAATTAATGTATCTGATGATGAAAAGCTGAAAATCCACATTGTGTCCCATTCTCATGATGACGTTGGCTTTAAGAAGACACTTGATCAGTACTACTCTGGATCAAACGAGATGGTTGTCAGGGCTGGAGTCCAGTACATTTTGGGTAAGTTCACATAAAAGTTTTTATATTAGAGCATAATTTAATGATTTTTAGATGAGGTTATCCAACATTTGGATGAAGATCCTACTAAGAGATTCGTGTATGCTGAGATGGCCTTCTTTACCAGATGGTGGGATGAACAAAATGAAGACATGAAAAATACTGTCAGAAGGCTAGTCACCAACGGGCAACTAGAGTTTATCAACGGAGGATGGAGTATGAATGACGAAGCGACTACCTATTATGAGGATATTATTACCAACATGCAGAAAGGTCATCAATTTTTACTCGAGGAATTCGGAGTTACTCCAAATGTCGGATGGCATCTTGATCCATTTGGCCACTCAAATGCTCAAGCAGCTCTCTTTTCCAGAATGGGCTTTGATGCATGGTACTTCTGCAGGATTGATTACAGAGACAAAGAAAAGAGAAGAGATGAGAGTAATCTAGAATTCCTATGGACTCCTTTCTTAGAAGATAGAGGTGACAAGGACAGCATCTTCACTCATATTACATATGATATGTATTGGGGAATCCCCAATTTCTATTTTGGGGATTCTAGAACTGAAGATCCTATTGTGCCTGGTTTTACACTTGACCAAAGGTTAGATGAATTTGCATCCTGGGTATATACCTTTAAGGACACGTTTAAGACAAATAATATATTTATACCATTCGGAGGAGACTTTAATTACCAGAACGCTGCAACAATCTTCATCAACTTGGACAGACTTATTAAGTATGCAAATGAAAGATTTTCTGATATGGATGTATTCTATTCCACTCCTAATACTTATATCGAAGAGGTTATGAAGACAGAAGGTGTTGAATGGAGCACAAATTATGACGATTTCTTCCCATATGCTGATGACAAAGAGTCCTATTGGACTGGGTTCTTTACCTCTAGAGCAAATCAGAAGGGATATATTAGAGAAGCCTCTAGACAATATATGGCATCAAACCAATTCTTAGCTATCGAAGCAGTCAAGAAAGTTATTGATAGTGATAAACTTGCTAAGCAAGAAGTGCTCGAGGATGCTCTTTCTATAGCTCAGCATCATGATGCTGCTACAGGAACTTCTAAGCAATTTGTAGCAGATGATTACATTGACTATCTTTATAACGGAATCAAAGCATCGGAAGAAGCACAAACTGAGATTATGACGGATTTGATTGACCCAAGCCTTGACTGGACTTTCTGAGATGTTAAAAATGGAACTCTTGAGTAAGAATTTAGTCTAATTATTTTATAGCGATTGAGCCATCATGAAAAGTTTGAGCGAAGGAAAGAAAGTCGTTGTATCGATTGCAAATCCATCTACAATGAGAAGAACCAACGAAATCGTTCATTTCGAAATTCCAAATGATGTAGAAATCCAAGTTGAAGATTTTTATTCTCCTGACGTGGCAGTAAAGGGAGAATCTTACTCAATCAAAAATAGTGACTTAGACACAGACTTAAGAACATACTGGACTCTTCTTGTAGATGAGGTTGATTCTTTGGCAACCAGGTCTTATGTTCTTTCTCCTACTCCTAAATCTCCTTCCTCTGGAGTAGACAATGGCCTTAAGACTGATTCAGACGTCAAGTTTGATTTTGAAATCACAGATGACTCTATAGTATCCATACATTACACAAAATGTAGCCAAGAATGTCAATCCCTGGATTTCGAGTTTGAATACAGATACTACACCTCATATGAGGGGAAGGGCCAAAAGTCAGGACTATACATATTTAGAGATGAGGGAGCTGGCCAAACAAGCCAATCATACAACACTATTGTAGATTTTCACATTCAAAAAGGAGATATTGCATCTGTTATGCACTTAAGAGGAGATAAGGTCGATTCCAGAGTTGTTATCAATAACTATGCTGATGTCCCATTTGCAACTGTAACTTCTGATGTGCATGGAATCGAAGGAGAGCATGGAGTTGAGGTCACTGTTAACTTTAGGACTGAGAAAGTAACCTCAGATAGATTCTACACTGATTCTAATGGAATGATTATGGAAGAAAGAATTATTAACCAAAGAAAGCATTATGATCTCACAGATCTTCAAGGATTTGAAGTAGTGTCTAACTTCTATCCGGTGAATTCAGCTATTACATTGAGAGATGATACAAATCAATTCACTATTCTTAACGATAGAGCTCAGTCCGGTACTTCTCTAAGGTCAGGAGAAATTGAAATTCTTATCCACAGAAGAACAACATTTGATGACGATAGAGGCGTTGAAGAACCACTAGACGAGAGAAACTCTGATAACTCTACTATATCTGTCCAGATCCAGCATCAAGTGATAGGAGCTACAATCGAATCTCTTCATAAAGAGAACTACAATGAAGTGAAGAGACTCCAAAGAGCTATCAATGAGGAACCTTTGCAAGTATTTTACTCCAAGGTGCCTGAATCTGCTCCTCAGGAAAGATCTTCTCTTAAATGCCCATCACTGCCTAACAACATTAAGCTAGTCTTGAAAGTACTGGACTCCCAAAGAGTAATGGCTAGGATCTACAACATGAATGAGCACTTTGACAACCTGACTGAGCCAACATCTTTCGATTTATCCACACTAGTGAACTTAGTCGCTAATCTTAGACAAGAAGGAGAAGGATTCAGTGTAACTGAGTGGAACTTATCCCTCAATAAACAGGTGACTAGCTCATCTAAGATCAACTGGAGCATTACAGATGGCAAGGCTACCTTTGAAGGAGAGAAATTTGAAACAGGAGTTGGCAACTACTTCGACCTTGGAAGCCAAGAAATGAGATCATTCATATTCAACTTTGGAGAAACCTCTCCCAACCAAGTTGTTGAATAACTTCCTTGTGAAAGAATTGCCAAGGATTATTGAGGGTGGGTTTCAATAGTTTTTTGATTAGTAGGGGTTTTGGGGTTTTGGGGTTTTGGGG